CCATGGGACAAGGCCTGTCCCGGAGGGAAGGCTGTTGGGCACAGTGCAGCCAGGGATGGAAAGTGTCAGCCCCCGCTCCACCCCGTGACCACATACAGCCTTGCTCATTGAGTGTGTATTTACAGGGCATCTCTAGGAGGGTCTCTCTGTCTCTCTGCCTCTGTCTCTGTCTCCATGTCTCTCTCTCTCTTCCCTCTCTCTTCTCTCTCTGAGTGTATAGCAAGGGTGTTAAAATAAGTGAATATGCAGCGAGGCACAATGGCGCACGCACACCTATAATCCCAGCATTTAGGAAGCCGAGGCAGGAGAATCCCTTCGAGTTTGAGGACAGCCTGAGCCACATAATGAGTTCAAACCCAGCCAAGGTTACCTAGCAAGACACTTTTCAAAAACAAGCCAACAAACAAAAAAGCTAAAAATAAATTGGTATTTTCAATGAGTCCATAAAGAAATATGAGGAACATAAAGAAATCAGGAGGGAGAGGAAGTCTACTTATGACTGTAATCAAGGATGATCTCAGAGAGGAGGTGAGTTTTGAGTTGTGACCTGGGCCAAGAGCAGAAGGCAGCCACTGGCAATTGGGGGCAATGCTTCTGGGCAGAGAGTGCAGCAAATGCAAAGGTCCTGGGGTCCGAGGACATGAAAGAGAACATTAAGTGAGGTGTGAAATAAGTTTGGGGGGAGGTAGGGGCCAAATCACAGCCAGCCCTGGGAAAGAATGTGTATTTCACCCATTAATGTATTTTTAGTAGCCAGGAAATGCTCGTGTTTTGAGTGTGGGAGTGGTGCTAGGGGGAGCCCTTTCCTCCTCAGCCTGGACTGTGTGACCCCAGAGTCTTTCTCACATGGTCTAAAGGTTGCTCCCATGTGGCCCAGCCCCTAGTTTACAAAGAGAGACACCAAAGACCTTGGAAGTCACCTTGCCCAGGCCCCCAGAAAGAGGCTTGGAGACCCCAGGTTTACCCTGAAATCAATGACTCCTATGCTAAAATCCAGCCAGGTGTGATGGTGCATGCCTGTTTTTTTAGTACCCTAGGAGGCTGAGGCAGGAAGATGGCAAGTTTGAGCCTAGCGTGAGCAACTGAACAAGACCCTGACACAGAATAAAATCCAAGGCCTCTTGCAGCCTTGCCTGCCTCCGGCTGGAGGGGTAGGGAGGAGCCACTGGCAGTGACAAGCTGACCAGGCATGGCCATGCCCGCGCTCCGCGAGCGTGGGAGAGGAGAGGCCAGGGTCGGCGCGGCCCGGGAGCACTGAGGTGGGTAGGACCTCGGAGGACCTCTGCGAACAGAGAGGTACTTACAGCAGGGTGCCATCTGTGGGCTGACCGGCTGGGGGAAGCAGGACCCCAGAACCCCAGAAGGGAAAGACGGGGGATCTCCAGGCCTCGGGAAGCGGACACCAAGGTGGGCAAGGCGAGGTAGCGCTGTGACCAAAGACCCGCAAAAACAACTTAAAGGAGGAAAGATTTAATTTAGCTCAGGTCTCAGTCCGTGGTCGGCTGGCTGCAAGGCAGAAGGGCATAGCAGAGGAAATCCTGGTGGCACAGGCTTGTAATCCCGGCACTCTGGGAGGCTGAGGCAGGAGACAGCGCCGGGGACAGCACTCCCATGGGTCAGGGAGGGAAGAAGGTGGCTCTTCCTAGTCCATTTATTCCCTCATTATTTGTTAAATGCCTGAGAGGTGCCAGACTATTCTAAGCATCGGCCACTCGGTGGTGCCAGAAATAGCATTCACTCCTTGCCTTCATGCAGTTTAGCTCTCTCAGAGAGGGAGGCAGACCAAAAATAAACAAAATAAAATGAGCACCGCGTGCAGTGCATCAGGTAGTGCTGAGTGCCAGGGAAACAATAGGCCGTGCCCCCCTGTGAAGGTGACTTGACATTTTTTTCCTTTTTCTTTTTTTGGTTTTGGGTTTTTGAGACAGGGCCTCGCTATGCAGTTCAGGCTGGCCTTGAACTCAAGATGTAGCCCAGGTTGGCCTTGAACTCAGGGTGATCCTCCTGCCTCAGCCTTCTGCGTGCTGGGCCCATGAAGGTTTCTAGTCACACCTGGAGGAGGGGGAGGATGGGCTGCGTGGCTGTCAGGAAGAGTGGGCCGGGCCGTGGGAATAACCAGGTGAGACCCCCGAGGCAGGAGCTCGCTCATTCCACGGCAGCATGGTGGGAGCAGGAAGCTAAGCAAGACCCCATCTCAAAATAAAAACGGACAGGGGTGTCGCTCAGTGGGCCGCATTAGGCTGGCTGCTTCCGCGGGTGGGAGGCTGGCTAGAGTCTCTGGGCCACAGCCTGGGGCTTTCCAATTGCGAGTCAATCCTGCCTCTGGGAGAAAAGCCTTGGTGGGTGCTTGTGCTTTGGAGCAGGCTCCTCTCCTTGCCTGGCCTTTGCTTCACGTCTGTTTCTCTTCAGAGCTGAACTGCAAAGCCCTTTAGAAAACTCAAAGCATGGCCCTATGGGGAACTGGAAGGAAGAGGACTAGGCCCCACAGTGGGGCTTGTCAGGTGATGGGGTAGTGGAGTGTCCCTGCCAGGGAGAGAGTGGTAGGGACTGTGAGGACAGACTGGGGAGGTCCAGGAGTTCTGGCCTTCTCAGCAGGTCTTGGGGAAACCAGAGGCTCTCTCTCTTTTTCTTTTTTTTGGATTTTTGAGCCAGGGTCTCGCTATGTAGTTCAGGCTGGCCTTGAACTCACTATGCCTCCCAGATTGTCCTGGAACCCACAGTGATCCTCCTGCCTCAGCTTCCCAAGTGCTGGGATTACAGGTGTGTACCACCACACCCAGCATAACCAGAGGCTTTTAAAACTTTTGGTTCCCCTACTTAGGAGGCTGAAGCAGGAGGGTCAAAAGTTCTTGGTCAACCTGAGCAGACTCTATCTCAGAAAGGGGGTACGGCTTAAGGAGGAGGGGAAAGGGGGACATTTGTCCCTAAGGCTGGAGTTAGACTGGGTTAGGTTCCAGCCCCAGGTTCAGGGTCGAATGGGTATGTGTCCCTTGGCAAGTGCTGGAGACCCTCAGAGTCCCCTTGGTGGCTGAGGAAAGAAGGCACCTTCCATCTGTTGTCCTTGGAGGCAATACTAGGGGTGCGGGGTGCCTGGGAGGTGAAGAAGGGGAACACCTATGTTTGCAAAGCAGGGCCCAGCTTGGAAAGTTGGGGTGCTGGGGACCGGAGGGTGGACGGGTGCATTCAGCTCTGCTCAGCTGTGCCAGGGCCCCACTGCCTGGGCTTTGGGAGGACACAGAACCCTGCCTGTGGCCGGAGCTCCCAGATCCCCCGGGGCTTCGAGAGAGGTCAGGAATCTGACCTGGAAGATGAAATCTGCCCCTTGAGAATCGACTGACAAAACAAAAACAAGAAGAATCACCACAGGCCGAGCCACATCCGCTGCCTGGATGGCAACACCCTGCTCTGGCAAGGCGACACCTAGGCTCAGTGTCTGGTTGCCTGCCACGGTGTCTCCTGGAGAAAAGGCTACTCATCCCAAAGCAGCACCCCGGGCACCCTTGGGAGGAAGGGCCGTGTGGTCCCAGGCAGGCCTGTAGCTTCTGGGGGCCACTCCCAGCCTATGAGTGACCCGGCCTGGAAGGCTCCTACCAGTTGAGACGGTGTGTGACTAAGCCCCTCAGGCTTGAGGGAAGATGCAGTTATTATGGAAGTGACTCTTCCTGAAACGTGCTTCCGGAGCAGTGTGCTCAACTATTTTGGGTGTCCACAGTCACAACTGTGTGTGTGTGACAATGCAGGTGTGTCACAACCTGGGAGCTCTGCGTGACACAGCGTAAATGTCATCATTTTAATAACCTCGCCTTCATGAATTCTTGGGGAGGACCAGGAAGGCAGGGTCTCTCCTCCCCAGCCCAGAGCCTGGCTGAAGGGGCACCATTCTGGCCCCTAACCGGGTGCCGGCTCCACGGTGGGATGTGGGGTTCCTCCCCAAAGCGGGGAGGTTAGGATTTGAGGCTCTGCTGTGTCCATCTCAGCTGAGCTGCGGGGGCGTCGGGCGGAGAAGAAAAGGGCCTTTGCTTCTGTATTGCGCTGAGAGGAGAGTGTAACTGCCCGGCCAACCCCTGAGGGGGCTGTCAGCGCCCCTCCACCCCTCGCTGCCCGGAATCATCCCGGCCACTATTCCCGCCTGAGCCCCAATTCTGTGCTTCCTTTTGCAGTGTGGGGCTTGTGCGCAGGCTTCTCTGAGGCCCGCTGATCTGGCCGGAGGTAGGGGCGGCTTTGCAGGTGCAAAAGCCCCGGCTTCTGCGTGCCCTCCTCTTTCCTCTGCCCGCCACCCCACTTTCTCCACCTGCGCCCCGTGGAGGCTTGTCTAGGGTGCCGGCGTCTGCGCGCGCTCCCCGGCTCCCACGCGCGACGCTGCGCTCCTGCACTATGCTGCCCGCGTGGCCCAGGGTGCTGCGTCTCCTGGCTGCGGCCCCCCACGTCCTCCCCAGGCCCGGAGCGCACGGGCCCTTTAAATCCTCCGGGGCGGCGGCGGCGGGCCGGGGATGACATCAGCGGGCGGGCCCGGGGCTCA